TGCTCAATTTCAAGCAAATCCTAAGGAATCCCACTTGACTGTTGTCAAGAGGATATTGAGATACTTGAAAGGCACTACTGACCTTTGCCTTTGGTATCCTAAAGGTAGTAACTCTAATCTAGTAGGATATGTTGATGCTGACTATACAGATTTTCTTGTCGATAGGAAGAGCACCTCAGGTATGGCTCATTTTCTTGGTTCATGTCTGGTATCATGGGCCACTAAAAAGCAGAATTCAGTGGTCTTATCCACTATTGAGGATCAAACAGCAGTTGATGGATTTTGGTATTGAAGTCTGTTGCATCCCTATTTTTTGTGACAACACCTAGTGCTATTAGTATGACTAAGAACCTGGTTCATCATAAGAGAACTAAGCACATAGATGTTAGACATCATTTCTTAAGGGTCAACTACGAGAAAGGATTGATCATAATAGAATTTTATGCTACTGATAAGCTGATTGTTGACATCTTTACAAAAGCACTAAGTATAGAAAGCTTTGAAAGGAACAGGTTAGAATTAGGGATGATTAAGATCACCTAATGGGACAAGTTCAGAATGTACAATGAAAAAAAATATATGAAAAAAAAAATTGGTTAGAAAATCTGGAACTTGTGTAAATATCTAGATTAATCTTTGCTCAGTCTCATACTGTAAATAGTATACTCCTGTGATATGTGTTGATATGACTCACTGATCTCTAACAAAATTTTCTCTATTTTGGTAAATAGAGGCATGATCAAGAGGATTCCTAGTGAAGAACCTGGTCCATCAGTACTGGTTCATCTGAATAACAAGGTATATTTTCTACACTCTGTGCAATTAGAAATATTAATATTTAATTCATGAGCAGAGTCCTACCTATAATGAAAAACATCAGAAAAACCTATCTTTTAATTTTGAACCAGTTCCGTCTTCATTAGAATTCTCACTGCACAAAATGCCTAAAATCTAGGGAAGCCTAACCGCTCATTCAACCTGAAATTTCAGGTTGATTAGACTTCTAATTGACTGAAAAAAGCTACCGTTGGTCATTAATTAATCCTCTCTCTTTAAAAACCATCATCACCATCTGCCACCCTCATAATTCCAAAACCGTCGAAATCTCTTTTGCTCTCAATTCTTCTTTCTTCCAAAAGACAAACTCAAAAACCTCTTACGAAAATAGCAACAATGTCTAACCCTCAAGATAACCCATGCACTCCTCCACAACCTACCCCTTCTGATTCCTCCACACCTCCTCAACCCAGCTCAACCCCCCAACCTAGGAGAAGACGAGTTATGATGCTGGGTCGTAAAACTGTGGCTACAGGTGCATTTTCGAAAAGACTGAATGCCCAATTAAAGGTTAGCCAAGCCTAAGAATCTGAAAACTCAGATGATTCCTTCAAATCTGTGAGTGAGGGGGAAGGAACTGGGTCTTCTAATTCTAAGAAGGTTCAAAATCCCCCTTCAGAGGTACGCTCTGTTTTGGTTGAAAATCAGGATAATAGGTTTGTTCTAGTTGGGTCTGTCATGAATGTGGAAATACCTGAGTCAAGAAGGAGAGGAGGTAAAAATAAAAGTGAAAAAGAAAAGGAGAGTGAGGGTGTAAGCAGTGATGTGAGGGGAAGAGGGATAGAAGTGGTTGATTCTTCACCCACCTCTGAGATGGTTAGACCAGCTATTTGTGGGGCTGAGGATGAAGTTGTAGTAGAAAGTAGCAAGAAAACAGGGGGAAGTGGATCAGGGGAAGCTGCTGAAGGGTTGGTCAATTTAAGTTCACATGTGGATGAACTCGGTTCATCTATTTAGGAGACCCTAGCAGACCTTCTGAAGAAAGTAGGTGCTAGTTACAACCCCAAGAAAAGGAGCACCCCCACCCCTAAGGTTCCCAGCACTGCAAAGAATACCAAGAAAAGAAAGGCTGCTTCTCCAACAACTACTGAGATTCCCTTGCCAAAGGGAAGAGCCACAAGAAGTATGGTGAAGCAGAGTGAGAGTGAGTTACAAAGAGCTATGGCAGAAAGTAAGAAGAAGAGGATGGACAAAGGGAAAGCTAAGGTTGCAGAGCCTGCTGAGGCTGTTGATGTGGATGAGATAGAACATGTCCATCAGGAAGAACACACAATTGTGGAGGTTCAGATCCCCAAGCCCAAAAAGACCAAGACTTCTTCCAAGAAGTCTTCATCTGTGTCTAAGACTGGTGAACCTTCATTAGCCAAGAGGACAATGTCTATTGTGAAAACCAAACAAGTTAGAATTGTTGAGGAGGAGGAACAGAGTGGTGAAGAAGAGAGTGAGTCTGATGCTGAACAAGACAAGCTGGCCAAGTTTGGCAAAAGAAAAATCTTAAAGGGTAGACTTCTGAAGGATTTGGTGGAACCGTAGATGGTTCGATTGGTTGATGCACTAGCTGCTCAGGGTTGGAAGGACATGGTCCTTCAGTTGGATGGAAGGCTAGCAAGGAATGAGATCATTGAATTCATGGCCAATGCAGAGGTCAAGGATGGCAGAGTTACCAGCCAGGTGAAGGGGGTTCAAGTGACTTTTGATGCAGAGAAGCTGGGTGAGATCCTTGACATCCCTGCTGAAGGGTATGATGACTACACAAGGCAAAGATGGCCAAGTCTGGATTGCTTTCCTACTGCCCTTGAAATCACTAGGAGATTTTGTGATGTTACAGAAGTGAATGAGGCCAAGGTTGTGCATAAGAGTGAAATGAGGCCTTACCACAAAGTCCTGTTTGAATTTGTCAACAAGTGCCTACTGCCCAGGCAGGAAAGAAGGCACATTCCTAACTATATGGACTTGGTTTTGATGGAGTGTCTCGAAAGTGGCAGGCAAATCAAATGGCCTGCATTCATTATCAAGCTACTGGACAGGTTATCAATGGCTCAAGGCCCATGCCACCCCTTATGGGTTTATTCCGACTACTGTGTGGATCGTTACAAGGTGCCACTGAAGAAGTGGGAGATGGCTAAGCAAAGACCATTTTGGCATCAACACTTTGACTGCTTGTGACTATGCAGTCAATGCCATTCCCAATGAACCTGGTTCATCCAAGAATACACCTATCAATAGCAAAGTCAGAGTTCGGGTGCAGGAGAGTGGGGCAAAGGATGCTGAGATAGCTAGGCTGAAGGATCGTTTAGCAGAGGTTGAATCTGATAGAGATGCTCTGAGAACTGAGCTCACAAAGGAAAAGGAGAAGAATGATGGCATTCTTCAAAATATGCTGAATCTTCTCCAAGCACAAACCCAACCCTCCAGCTCTTCCAAGCCCTAGGCTATCTAGCCTTCATTTCCTGAACCTTGTCTATAACCTTCAGTGACCTAGATTAGGGATTTTTTGTTGTTTTGCTCATGTTTTGACTATTTTTGTTTCTTTTTGTGGATTGTGGTAGAAACATATCTATGACTGGTTTTGCTCTTGTTGACTGTTTATATTTCCTTGATAGTTTTTATATGTTTGTTTGATTACTGATGATTAATCTATGATAGCACTTGTAGTTGCCCTAGTGTCCACGAGTAATTGTTAAAATTTTAGGAATTACACTGCGTTTATGCAACGTTTTGATGATGCCAAAAGGGGGAAGAGATATTGTGCTTTATATATTCTAAATAAGTGATGTTTATAACCTAATGAACCTGGTCCTTGATGATAAGATAATTTTTCTAGTTTTGTATTGATGAATAAGCTGAGTTCTGATAGGGCCTAAGTGAGTGAAAAGCACAGAGTTTGTCATCATCAAAAAGGGGGAATTTGTTGGTCCAAGTACAGGTGAAGTTTTGAAGACTGACAAAGGAACTCAGACATGGACCAGGTCCATCCTTGTGAGGCACGGTTATGGTCAACTCAAACATGTGAGATGCACGTGAAGGAGATAAATCTAACTTACCAGAAGCGATATCTCCTGATCATATTGGATAAGGAAAAAGACTCCTTACACAAAGAGAACACGGCTTAAGAAAAGGATAGAGTTAGAGGATGAGATCAAATAGAACTTTTCAACCATGGAAGAGTAGCATCAGAATTCTAGCTAATCTCTAATTGCTAACTCCTTAATATCAGCGTTCTTCTCTTTTACAGGTAACGCACATAAGCAGAAGTTGAGCGTAAACTGAGAGCAAAATAGCAAGACAATTTTGCAAGCAATTTGTGTGTAATTCAAGCGTGCAAACCTGAAGCTACTTCAACCAGATAGAAGAACCAGTTCCAAGTGTCTATCTTTTATTCTAGTTCAATTGTAGTAGGTGATTTCATATTATTCCTTTCAGCTTTATCTAGAAGCAATTGTATTAGGTACTCAGAATTTTCAAGTTAGAGTTAACTTGAAGTTGTCGCAACAGTTGAGGCTATGTGCTACAACGGGATTAGAGTTAATCCTAGGTTTACAAAAGAGTTTTTGTAAATGCAGTTTTGGCTCAGTGATTTTAGTGTAGAGTTTGAGAAAATCCTACTGGAAAGTAGGTCGTGGTTTTTTCACCTTTTGAGCCAGGTGTTTTCCACGTAAAATATATGTGTTCTTTAATTTCTATACTTATTATTCCGCAATAGTAGTAGTTGGAACACATAGAAGAACCAGGTCCTTCTATAATCAAGTTAAGCAAAAAATTGGTGTACCACACAAATCACCCCCTCTCTTGTGTGGTATTGAAGTATAAAACATCAAAGATACAACACAAAATCAAGCAAGTATAATACATGAGAGAGGTCAATGTAGACAGAAGGTGGATGAGGGAGGTACTTCTATCAGTTCAATATCCAAATGAAGCTCATTACTTAGAATGTGAGGGATGAATAAGTTGTACAAATAGAAGGAATTAAACTCCTTTATTATAGAGAATAAATTAGTTTGACAATTGTGCAGGAAAATAGGGTGAAGGAACAGAATGCTAAAAGTATTATTGGAAAAATTGCAACAAGTTGGGCCTAGCATGCAAATTTTAACTATAGCTCTAGAGGGAGGATATGGGTAATGTGAAATCCTAATAAATTGGTTTTCAAGTTGATATCCATGACTGATCAAGTTATACATGGAGCAGTGAAAAGTTTAAATATGCCTGTTGAATTCTATTTCTCTGCTATCTACGAGCAACATACAGTGGAAGATAGAAGAAGTTTAAGGTCGCATCTGAGAGGTATCGCTAATGGAATCCAGGATCTTTGGCTGGTCATGGGTAATTTTAATACAATCCTGAGACCTGATGATAGAGTCAATGGTAATGTAGTGACGGAAGCAGAAGCCAGAGACTTCAATGACTTTATTGTTGACACTGGAATGGGTGAGTTGAAAACAGTTGATAGGAGTTTTACATGGACAAATAGTCACATCTTCAGTAGAATTGATCGGGCAATTGGGAATGCGGAATGGATGATCCATATGGATCACATAGAGGTGCAGATACTAGATCCTCATTTCTCTGATCAGTCTCCTTTATGTGTTGATTTTGCTGAAACAGTTAATAATAGACCTAAACCAATTAAGTTCTTAAATCACCTGGCAGACCATCATGATTTTTTGGCAGAAGTAGAAACAGGTTGGATGAAACCAGTTATGGGAAATTCTATGAAAACACTGTGGTTGAAATTGAAAAATATCAAGAATGAAATGAAGACACTAAACAATAATGAATTCTCAAGTGTGGGAAGCAGGATAAAGGACACTAGAAGGGCTCTAGCAGAGCTACAGGAGCAGATGAGAGACTACAAACATGATGCAGCTTTATTTGACACAGAGAGAAATTTGAAAAAAGAACTGGAGAAATGGTCAAAGGTCGAAGAAAGCATATATAGGCAGAAATCAAGAATACAATGGTTACAACTAGGGGATGCAAATACAGCTTTTTTCTATGCTAGCATTAAAAATAGGACTGCTCGCAATCAAATCAAGAAGCTGAACTATGCTGGAGATTGGATACAAACTGAAGCTATGGTTAAAGAGAAAATCCTTGGTTTCTATAAAAAAAAATACTTGGGGCTGCTACCTGACAAATGCCTGCGATCAAGCCAGACATATGCAAAAGAGGCCATGTACTAAACAGAAGTCAACAGCTAGCTTTAATTGCGCAAATGGCACAAGAAGAAATATATCATGCACTTTAGAGTATAGATGATATGAAAGCCCCGGGAGGGGATGGTTTCAATGACCTATTTTTTTAAAAGCCTGGTCAATCATTGGAGAAGAGGTTATTACTGCTGTAATGTATTTTTTCGAAACCTCAACTATGTATAGACCTGTCAACTGCACCTCAGTGACTTTAACTCCTAAAGTGAAGAATCCTTCTTCAGTAAAGGAATTTAGGCCCATTTCATGTTGTTCTGTACTTTATAAACTGATCTCCAAGATCCTAACTACTAGATTGCATAGCATGATGGATGACCTCATAGATTATAGCCAATCAGCTTTTGTGCCCGAGAGAATGATAAGTGACACCATTATCTTATGTTACGAACTAGTAAAAGGATGTGGAAGAAAAAAGATCTCTCCAAGATGTATGCTAAAAGTGGACATGCAAAAAGCATATGATTCACTGGAGTGGAAGTTTATTGAACAAGTACTGATACATATGAACTTCCCTAATTTGGTCATACAGTGGGTCATGGAATGCATAAGGTCAATTTCATACTCTATTGGCATCAATGGATGGCCTACGGAGCCATTTGCAGCTAAAAAAAGGATAAAGGCAAGGGGATCCTATATCCCCCTTCCTTTTTGTTCTTGCTATGGACTACTTTTCCAGAATGTTGAAAGGACTGAGTGCACAACCAAATTTCAATTATCAGCACAGATGCCAGAAAATGAATTTGATACAATTAGGCTTTGCTAATGACCTACTATTATTTTGTATGGGTGATTTAATATCTGTTCAGATGCTTTATGACTGCTTCCTGGAGTTTTCTCAGGTATCAGGTTTGATGGCAAATAAAGAGAAAAGCTCTATCTACTTTGGAGGGGTGAAAGAGGAGACACAAAGGGCTATAATGGAGATGATTGGTTTCAGTAAAGGGGAGATACCATTTAGATATTTGGGTGTACCACTCAGTACAAAGAGACTGTCAATTAACCAGTGCCAACCTTTAATTGGAAAAATGCTAGGAAGGTTTACAAATTGGACAAAAAAGTTCCTTTCCTATGCAGGAAGAGTTCAGTTGATAAAAAATATTCTTTTCTCCATTCAGATTACTAGTCACAGATTTTTGTTCTGCGTACTAAAGTGATAAAAGTTGATCGAAGCTACATGTAGAAGATTTCTTTGGACTGGAGGAGTGGAATTGACAAAGAGAGGATTTCTTGCTTTGGAGAAAGTATGTTATCTTGCTAGTGTTGGTGGACTTAATATCCTAGATATAGCTATATGGAATAGAGCAGTGATTAGCAAGAAATTATAGAACATATGTTCTAAAAAGAATAAACTCTGGATTAAGTGGGTTCACAACTATTACATCAAGGATGGACAAATATGGGGTATAGTAACTCAACAAGCTTCATGGGTAGTGCAAAAATGCAAGGTATGTCCATCTAGCTAGGATTGTGGAAGAGGACTTAAAAAGCATGACAACCTTTTCAATCAAGAAGATGTATCTAATGATGAGAGGTGACTTTCCAAAAGTACAGTGGAGGAAAATGATTTGCAACAACTATGGATCTCCCAAATGGATCTTTATCTTCAGACTAGCAGCTTATGGGAGATTACCCACAAAAGATAGATTGATGATCTGGGGTATTGTTGATAAACAAATATGTCCATTATGTGCTTCTCAGATAGAAAGTATATCCCACCAGTTTTTTCAATGTGAAGTTTCTGCACAGGTATGGAATAGTTTGCTGCAATGGCAATAATTGCGAGAAAAAATATGAGTTGGCCAGAAGAACTGAAAAGGGCCGAAATCCACGCCAATGGAAGAAGTCCGGGTGCTGAACTCTATAGAATGACCTTGGCAGCATGTGTATACCATCTATGGATTGACAGAAATCAAAGGGTCTTTAAGGCTAAGCATATTGGCCATAGGAGCATTGTTGGAAGAATCATCCAAGAAGTATTCTACCGAGGATCGCAAAGGAGCAGACTAATTAAGGAACTCGATGAGCTGAATTTTTATCCTTAATAGCTTAGTCTGTGGAGAGTAATTAGAGAAGATTGGTTGTTATAGTTGCTAGGAGTAGCCTGTATTCTTTTTTTTTGTTGGAGAGAGAACTCATCCATATACTTTCGTTGTTATTTGTACTTGCTGCCTTAGGTAATAATATCTTTTATTTACCAAAAAAATGTAATGCAGAATTCACAACGTAAGCATCTTGAAGTGGTTGACATTCTTTTTCTAGAGTTGTCCATTCATAAAATATAAATAATTTAAATAAATTTTACGATATTAGATTTTCCTTCTTTGTTGTTAAAGAACACCATGACAACTGATAAAGAAAAATAAAAGGGCATAATCAGAGGGATCAAGCAACAGTGGAGCATGTGTGAGATATATACGATATACATATAATTGTGTCATTCCAATAAAGAGGATCATACATACATACATACATACATATATATATATATATATATATAACAAATCATAACAAGGATTATGACAGAATAATATAAGTATCCTTCAAAGCATTTGATCCATCTTATGCAAGAAATGGTGAATCACTAAAGGAAAGAGAAAAATAAAGAAGCTAAAATAGTAGAATCATTTGCACTTGCAAATGTTATTTTTTTTTATTCCCAAGATTAAATTGCCAATTGGAAAAATACAACTTGCTGTAATCGGGAGACTATTGATATTCGAACTCATAACACTACAATTTCAATTACTAAAATATCAATTGTCCTCCGTATTGTGAATGTTATCTTCTATATTTAAGTTAATCTTTGGACTCATCAATCAACACTGTATTAAAAGCTGAAAATTCTTAGGGTGCAATAACTTTTAATTTGTAACACTTCGAATGGAGTGGTTCATACGTCCCTCTCCTCACCAAACCTGAAGAACGAGGTGACAAGTAAGTAGTATCACAGGGGTGCATTTTTAAGCACCTTTTTTTTGGTAAGAAGGCTTTGATTAAACATAATTAAGATACAGCGGTTTGAACTGGATGGTATGTCACAGTTCCAGTTACATCAAAAGCTAAATGTGATAAGATAAAAGTTGGTGAATTTTCAAAAAGTAAAACATCATTGGATTGTAGATCCAGTTTTTTCTTCCCATACTTAGCTAAAGCATCTGCCATTTGTTTACCCTCTCTGAATATGTGGTGTATCATGGTCAGTTGAAGTTATTTGAGCATCGACCTGCATTCAAGGAGAATGTGTGAGTATTTTGGTGGTGTATTTGATAAGATGTGGAGCAATATCTGGGAGTCCGTTTCCACTTGTAATGGTTTGTAATTGCGAGCTTTTTCTATTAGTAACCCATGATATAACGCTAGGAGTTCAGCTTGTAGGGTATCAGTATATATCAAATGTTTGGTAAAGCCATATACCCATGCACCTGAGTCGTTGCAAAAAACTCCAACTGCTCCTCCCTTATGTGATTGATTATCATAGGCTCCGTCTATATTTAACTTATAGTATCCTTGGAGTGGAGGGTGCCATTTAATTGGAATATGATTAGTTAGTATATGTTGGTGGTTGTATGTGGTCGCTAGGTGGTAGAATTGGGATGCTTGGTTATAGATGGTACGGATATTAATGGGTGTATGGGTGTGGTTAAATAAGTTATGGTTACGGTTGATCCATATATGCCAGAAGATGAATGGCACCAAGATATGTGAAGGTGCAGTAGTGCTTGTGTGGGTGTGTGGTGGTCGGGGGGAAGACATAACTGTTTAGCCCATTTTTGTATCAGTTGTGGTGGAATTGGTATATCAAAATGCTGCCATATATATGAGGTATATGCACAATGGATAAAAATGTGATCTATATCTTCAGTTGCTTGTCTGCACAATGGGCAGGTAGTATCTGTATAAATGTTGCGTTAAGAGAGGAATGAGAGGGTTGGTAGTTTGGCCTGTAGCATGAGCCAGAAGAAGTGTTTAATTTTATTGGTAGAATGTATCTTCCATACCCCAATCGAGTTGTGAAGGGAGTTGATGTTTGTGCGGAGGGGCTGATATTAGGTTGTATGCAGTAGCGGTTGAGAAGGCTCCTGTTGGTGAAGGATGCCAAAAGAATTGGTCTTTAGGATTGCTTGAAGTTTTTAACAAGGTGTTATTAATATGGTTAAGGAGGGATTGTGGGAGGTCAAATGAAAGTGGTGTGAGGTTCCATGATCCATTTTGTATGATAGAGCTGAGTGGCAGGTTATCTTCATGTTGTTAGAGTGGTCCATAAAAAAGATGGCGTAGGGTGTAGTGTGGGGGTAGCCCGTCTTCCCATAGTTGGATTTGGTTATCACTATTTATATTTCGACCTAGTCCCCGTTTAAGGAAAGGGTATGCTTTTACCATGCTTTTCCAAATGTATGAAGCCCAGTTTAGAGAGGTGGAATTTAGGATGAGGTTGTTGTATTTGTGGTTGGTATTTAAGGTGTAAAGTATTTGCACAATGAGTGTTAGAATTGTTATAGTATCGCTAATGTAGGGCTGTAAGTAAGGACATATTTTTTGGATATATTTTATGAATTCCTAGGCCTCCATAAATTTTTGGTGTAGTGACTTTGTCCCAGTTGATAAGATGAAGCTTTCGTTTGGCTGGGAGGAACCCTAGAGGAAATTTCTTTGAATACGATCAATATGCCTTAGAATCTTAGGTGGGAGGAGGTTTACTTGGATGGCATATGTGGGAATAGTATTTAGAACAGAAGTGATTAGGGTCGTTCGCCCAGCAAATAATAAGCATTTATATTTCCAAGCAGCGAGTTTACGATTTAGTTGGTCAATGAGGTATTGATAACAGTGGAAGACTGAGTGGTGTTAGTTTTTCACAGCCCTAAGTATCTACCAAAGTTAGTAGTGGTTGCTATGTTAAGAAGTAAGGAGATTTTGTTCTTAGTGTCATTTGGTACATTGGCTGAGATGAGAATTTTTGATTTCGTAAAGTT